TCAGAACAGGAGAAGGATCTTTGCTTTGGGGCGGCGTAATTACCAAAGAATATTCCATTAGAATTTCACGGCGCATTAGATGCTGCCACTGCCGCCAAAAGTGGCAGAAAGTTTTCGGTGTGTGTTAATGCTCTCTGCCTTTGGAGGCTGGCCAGGAGTAGGCAGGACACACGCCAGCAAATGGCCGCCAATTCGGGCGGAAAAACTTTGGCCAAAACTTTGCATGCTTCCTGGCGGCGGAAGCTCTTGGCACTCGATTTGTATGTACAACATTGGCCGGCAGCAGCACTCGAGTCTCTCGACTCTCTGCCATTTGTCTGGCGGCAGCAGCATCATTCTGGGTTTGTGTGCCTCGAAATCCCTGGCAATCAATCAATTGGCCCCAAAGACTGAACTGGCGGCTAATTGGAGCGTCTAAAAGAGCCAAAGAAATGGACAAAAAGAGCAGCTAAAAGACCAAACAAACGGCCATAAGAGGGAGCAAGGAAATGGCAAACGTTGTGTGTCCATTAGGGGGAAGTGCCACAAAAACTTAAAGTAAAATGGGAACATGGAACAAATCGGAAATTCCCCTCAAAAACTGATTTGAAACATGATTAATCAATCAGTTATTCAACGACTTGCAGCGCAGTGAATAAAATCTCGTAAATTCCATCAAAATTGGTAGCCAGACCATACAGAAATTACGCATACGGCAAGTGTGACAGTGTAAAAAAGTCGGAGGCAGTTGCATATTTCATGGCTAATTGAGTGGCAACTTGGGAGCAATGAGCTGGCAGAGCAGGCTTTGGCCTCATAAATAATTGATAATGGGAGCCATGGAGCTGGAAACTGCAAATGTTTCCAGATACTCCCATGGAAAAGCCACGAGACACACGCAGTAGAAAGTTATAGGAATGCACCTGCCAAACGCACACCAAGAATGAACGCAGGAACGCACTGCCACATTGGCAAATTTAAGCACACAGACTGCCACACAGCTACAGCAACGATTGGACTCCCCAAAACTGTGGCACGCAGTTGCCGGCACGGGCTACAAATGCTCCTATGGAAACGCTTAACAATAATGATGCTCGATGTTGCTGCTGCTGCTGCTGCTGCCATGGCATCCCACGCCCTTGATGGCTGTCGTGTTTTCAGCGATTGCCCCACACATCCCATGCCCTGCCACATGGGGCAGATAGCTTCAGGCAACGAAACTTTGCTCTCTCTCTCTATCTCTCTCTCTAGTGCTTCTCCTCTGTGCACACACACAAAAGTCATCGACAATAATGAGATGGTAATGTTAATGAAATTTGTTGCCTCGCCAGAGGATCGCATGGGTTACGAGCCAGAGTGAAGGGACTAAACTACTAATGAAGTCATTGATAAGCACACACAAAACACAACAGAACGAAGGAGCGATGGCATTCATGTAAAGAGAAAGCATCCATCTAGACACACACACACACGCAGACAGGCAGACAGACAGACAGACAGCCATCTATAACCAAGAGTTGATTAGGTCATAAGAGTCATTCGGCTGCATATTTGGGGCTGATGCTGCTGCTGCCACGCGAGAGACAATGTCCTGGCATTACTCAACAGAAGGAGCAGCAGCAGCAACAGCAGGAAGAGGGGGAACAATCTGCTACGACTGACTGAATGCCATTGCTGCTGCTGCTATTGCTGCTGCTGCTATTTGTACTTGAAATCTCATTAAAGTTGAAGCCCTTGTCTGCTGCTGAAGGAGTGGCAAGAACGGAAGCTGTTGCCAGGAGCCTCCTCTCATTGCTAGTTTGAGCCCTGCCCTGCCCTGCCCTTTGCCATAACGACAAAATTTAATTATACAACACAAAAGCCGAAAACGAGGCAGAAGAACGAGGAGGGCAAAAGGCGGCAGTGACAGAGTCTGAGGGCAACATCAACAAAAGCTGCGGCAAATTGAAATTTTTGACTTTTGACTTGGCCTTAGCCAAGGGGATCCTCTTCTAGTGAGAGACGCTGCTGGATCCTGCACACCCACTGGCCAAAGGATCCACACGGTGGCCATTCCCTCAAGGTTTTTCCTTCTTTCAACTATTTTCTTGCCTTAACACAGAATACTTCGCATGCATGTGCTTCATTTTCTTTTTACCAAAAAATTTAAAAAGTGTGAGGCAAAAAAAGTTAAGCCACACGCCTTACCCCCCCCTTGCCGACACGCCCACGCAAAGAGGCAAAGTGCAGCTGGTATAATAATTGCGGTTATTTGCCCAGGAGGCGAGAGGCTGCATGAACATCCTGCGGTCATCCTGCGGTTAACCAATTGGGCGGGCTCGCAGGGAGAGGCATGCGAGGCTCACACCTCCACATGCACAGAGAGAGAGAGAGAGAGCAGACACGTCTCCAGACCGGAATCACAAAGGCATAACCGCCCGATGGAAGGATAGTTACAGCTCTTTATATGTGTGCCCCAGGGGAGTGGGAGGAGCAGTAGGAGGAGGATGGAAGGAAGGAAGAACGGAAGAACGGAAGGATGGATGGATGGTTGGTTTCCTCTTGAAAGACACGAGGCATTTCTAATACCCTTCAAGAATGAAGCGCCACCGCAATGCGCTCCCCAAGAGCCAGATGGATTACGTTCGGTGTCGCCCAGGAAGACGACCCCATCCTAAAGGTGCTGAACCCAACTCGACTTTGTTGCCACAGAAAAACTGCTGACTTGGCCAGAAGGCAGACAGCCAGAGAGGCAAACAGATAGACAGACAGTCATTGAGTCAGCCAGGAAGTGGGGCCAAAAGAAGGCCGGCAGCAGGTGAGGTGCGAGCAGCCAGAGAAAACGAGACTTCCGCCTGAGCTGATGCCAGGGCTTTGGAGATGGATATGGCAGAGGAGCAGCCTTACGAACGGGCGGACAGACAGACAGAGGGACAGAACACTCGACCACAAAAGCATAAGTTGCCAATTAAACTGGAATGCTTTGCTGCCCCTCTGCAGCAGCAGCACCAGTAGGAAAAGCATCCTCTGTATTCCGTGCACCACAATCTCTTCTGTATCTGCTGCCTGCGGCACTTACTCCTGCAACACTGTGGTGGAATAAAGAGAGAGAGAGAGAGAGAGAGACGGCTCTGGAACATCCTAGAGCTTGGCATTAATTTCATAACCTGCCTTTTTATGGCCAACTACCCAAATTGGGTCAACATTGACAATGGCCAGGCGCCAGCAGAGGCAGGAGCACAGGCACACAAAGGCAGAGGCAGGATGGGGCAAGCCACTTCACTTGGTTCGCACTCGCCATTCATTTTGTTGGGTGGGGGACCAGCTGCCACATCCGTTTTGGCCCAGTCTCGCACTTTTTGGAGTGTAGTAATAATTATCGCTGCCTCGCTGGCTCTTCCTCTTTGCAATTATGCAAATTTGCGGCCAAAACTAATTGTCTATGGTTCCGCTTTTCGCCTTACACTTTGCCCTCATTCTTTCCCAATTCAAGTACTTACTTGATCCGATTGTAGACCAGCAGCTCCGCAATATCCCGGCCCAGTCCCGAGTATGTGGTCTCCACAAACACCAGAACCTTGGGATCGATGCGTAGACGCGCCTCGGAGCGATGATCGGGCGCTGGGGAGGCATCTCTGACATGTTTACCCGCCGCATTGATCATCCGACAGTGGATGATGGGCGCCGGATGTGTGTCCCGCTGAATGAGGCTGCAAATGAAGGAACAAAGAGAAGAATATTAGAGTGGGGAAATACAATTTTAACCTTTAATTCCTTATCCTTTGGCTGCTCAAAGCAATTAACCTAACGAGATACTAAAATTGATGCCTGAAAAAATGTGCAACAAATAAGATGAATAAATAAAATTGGGGAGCCAAACAAAATGTAGCACGTAAAACGTAAAAAATGCAACATTTAATGGGTGGGAAAAACATAAGAGAAAATGGGGATAGCTGCAGAAAGCAGAAGAAGGAGGAGCTCTTCTGTTGGCAAAAGGAGAAGAGCGAGCAGCTTTTCCACTGAAGAAGCAACAGCAGAGGCAGCTGTGGAACTGCTTCCTCTGAAGAAGCAGCAGAAGAGGCAAGACCACAGCCAGCGGCATTCATTTATTGTATTTGCCTTGTCAGACGAACATTGCAGTGGGTGGAGAGAGACGAACACACACACACACACACACAAATACGAACAGAACATGCTGTATGCCAAAAGTGAAGTAGCAATGAAGAAGCGCGAGAAGGAGTGACGGGCAGGAGTGTGTGGTAGCCACAAATTGAGATACGCGACAACACGTTGCGTATGCGTAATGTGGCAACAACGTTGCTGCTGCTGCCACACACGCTGTCGTTAGCGGTGTGGCCTCCATCTACAGTTTGCTGTTTTGCTGTTTGCCGCAAGATAAAAGCCAAGACCATCTGCTGCTGTTCAACCAAGATACAGATACACCGAATTTGCCCCCGTCCCACATATCTTCATTTGCACGGTTTATGGGGAGGAGTGTGTGGGTGTGGGGTGTCCTTTAAAGAACAACAACAATCTGGCGGGGCGCCTCTCATTAACAAACCAACGAAACGACCTGTAAAACCAAGGCAGCTCCCGCTCTAATGTGAATTTGTGTGCCCTGAATTCGGAGTCCCTGCTATCGCCCTTTTTGGGTGTTGCCTCTCCCCTCCCTCTGCCACTTTGTGGGTCCGAACTTTTCTCATGCGAGTGGAAAAGTTGCACAAGAAGAGACAGAATCCCCTTTGACCTGGGCAAGTTTTTGTATTTAGATTTTATCAGAATTTCACCTGCAACTTTGGCTGCCGCTGCCGCTGCCCCTGCTGCTGTTGCTGTTGCACCTTCCACAGCCTTTCTGCTGCCTCGCCTCCTTGCTCCCATTTCTTATCCTTTCTGTTGCCAAAGAGCAAAGCATTTTATTATAAAGCTTATGCAATTTCCACATATCCTTGCAACTACTTCCTGCCGCCTAACCTTTGGGCCAACCTTTCGCAGGACAGCAGTACATTACATTACAACGGAAGGAGCAGCAGCAGCAAAGAGTCCTCGAATCAAGGAGCTACATCCTGGCACTGGCAACATGTGTAGAAACCCTTTTTGCTGAGAGCCGTAAAATTAACAAAAACCTATTAGGCCAAGCCCCCGAAATCCCAAGTAAAGCGTAGACAGGCTGAGACCAGGACTCCTACTCCTTCTACTCGTGCTCTTTGGCTAAATGTAAATACTTTTTGCATTACAAAACCGTGCAGGGGGAGCAGCAGGAGGACTCTCGCTCTGTGGCAGGCACTGTGCACCATGGACTGTGCTTGAAGGCTCTGGCAAAACTTTTGCACTGCCAAAACAAAATATTTAGATAGCAGCAACACACAACAGTTCTCCCACACACACTCGCACATGTGTACTCCCCCATAGCAGAGACACAGACGGACATACGCTGTAGCAAATCTAAATACAAATAGAAAGAACAACTCCAGCCAGGCCGGGCTCCCAAAAAAGTTTCTTCTTTTTTTGATTTCTCGGCCCCTGCATGAAATGCCCTATAAACACGGCAGAGACAGACAGGGGGAGAGACCAAGAGTCGAGTACAAGTGCAGGATATAATGTGGGAGAGAATGCTCTTTAAATCAAAAACATAAGCCATAAACACAGAGCGTATAAGTTTTTGCCTTAGTTTTTGGAATGCAAAAGAGAAAAAGAGTACGAGGAGAGGCGAGTGTGTCCATAATAATGGGAGATTATTCAAAGGCAAAGTGGCATATTCATCAGTGTAAAATTAGGCAGTTGGTGAGGGGAATGTTGGGTGCTTTTGGGGCTACGTTTTGGTCGAGAGATAACTATTATTTTTAGGGCATAGTTTTGGCAATGAAAAATATTAGTAGAAGGCAGACACGGAACAACTCTCCATATATCTTTTCAGTGCGAAACTGCTCAGCAATTACTGCAAGCAAATCTACAATAAATTATTGAATTATTAAATACTTTAGACACTTTTCACATCTGATTTGCCTACGTTCATGGCAGCTCTTTGCAGTATCTCTAAGAATGCTCTCCATAGAAATGCTTCTCTACAATTCCACATTTGTTTGCCATGCCAAAAATATATTTTTCCTCTCCTCAAATATTATTCTTTAAGCAGAACTAATTCCACAGTTTTTGTTTGTACTTTTTATAGGACACTTTCGTGGCTCATCAGCAAAACGGGAACAACTTCTGATGGCTCGCGTGCCGTGACCCTTGCTCGAACGATGATGAAGAAACTTTGTTGTGCTGCTTGGCTGTGCTCCTCTTGTGCCTCTTGTTTGCATTTCGTGCAACATTTGCGGGTGGAAACTCTGCCAAACAGTCGGCAGTCCGCCAGTGAGCCAGTGAGGCATGCAACCTGGCCGGGGCCTCACTTCGCTGATTTATTTGTGCACAGCACAAAATTTCCGTTTCCGTTTTTCGAGAAGGAAGAGGATTCGAAGAGAGGGACGAGGCAGGCAGCAGGCGGCAGCGTGGCACGGGGGCAAGGACTACGAACGAAAGCGTCTCCGTTGCAAAGTTTCGTCTTTTGTTGCTGCATAAATTAGGCAACAAAAAGTCAGTTTATGCATTTGCGACGTGTTATTTATGCGGGCGTGCAACAAACTTGGCCACTCTCTGCCGCTCTTTCTCACTCTGTTGCACAGTGTGGAGCATGGGGCATGGGGCATGGGGCATGACCATGAGCGTGGCATGGCCAAGGCTTATTAGTCAACGTTGAAGACATGACACGCGGGAGGCGTTTTTATTGAATCCGTGAGCGCATAAATTCGCCGCAAGCTCAAGCACAAGCGGGGTTTGGGTATTTCCTAAGATTTTCTTCTGCTTTTCCCCAGCATTTTCCTTGCGAGAAAAGCGGGTCAGCAATGCACGCGCACAGACAATAAATCGTATGTAAAAATTTGTAATAAATTTGCAAAGTAGCAAATGCATGCAGCAGCAGCAGCCGCCGCTTGCCTCAGCAGAAGAGACTCGCTCTTGCCACAAAACGAGGCGCATACGTAATGTTAAAGCGCCCCCAAAAAAAGAGAGAAATCGAGAGGCAGTCCCCAGTCGGAAATGCATAATAAAATGGGAATCTAGCACAAGGATATGGCGAATAGAAAAAAAATATGATATCTAAGGACAAAAAATAAAAGGAAAAAACAATTTACTTGCGCCAAAAAATGAATAAAGCAAATACAAAAAAAAAAGGAAAAACCAAAAAGAAAACCTACAATTACTGAGGGGGGAAGGGGAAAAACCAACTTTTTGTAAGGCGTAAGCCCCTGCCTTTTTTTGGGTGGAAGTTCTACTTTTTCTGGGGTGCAAAATGCAAATATAAAAAGCAAACGAATCCCCCCCCAAATTGAGGGGCGAAAGAAGACAAAGCGCCGGCCACTTAAACATTCGAAATGGGGAGAAAAATGATGAAAAAGGAGCCGAGCAAAGAGAGGCAAAAGTGGAGCGCAGGTTTAAAGGGGAAAAACTAAGCAAAGAGTGGGGAGGACTAAGGGAAAAACTAAGCCACAAATTTAGTGAAAAACTGCAGCACCGAATCGCCTGTCAATGTCAGTGGCAGGCAACAGCCACACGGTTTTGATCAGCTTATTTCGGTTATTAAAAACTTGAATGAAAGCGGAAGCTTCTGCTGCTGCTGCAATATTGCTGCAATCCTTAAGCCCCAATATTTTGCTCCTGCGAGCAAAACAGCAGCGAAGAATTTCCCAGGCAGCAGCCACTTAAGAACAATGAAAATTGCACAGACCGAAGCAGGCAGGCAGGGCAGGCAGGGCAGACAGGCGGCAGGCAGGCAGCCGATGAATAACACTTGAAATAAAGACTCCCGACATGCGACTCAGCGGCTCAACGACTCGCCGATTGCGGTGCTCGTCGGTCGGTTGCCAGGGAAATGCAGCAAAAAAAAAACAAGAAAAAAAGTTAATTAAATAAATCAAGCCAAGTTCAATTGAATTGCAGCCGGGAAATGAGTGGGAAAATGTCAGTGGAGAGGCCAAAGGCAAAGGCAGCGAGGAGAAAGGCAAGACAAGGAGAGGACAGGACACAGCACAGGACGCCAGAGTGTCTGGCAGGAGCAGCAGCAGAACTCTGGACTCAGGACTCTGGCAAATGAACTGTGAACAAAGGGGAGTGGCGAAAGGGGGGAGTCGTTGAAAATAGCCTCAGAAACGGGAGAGCAGGGGCGAAAATGCAAAAGGCGTCTCCGAGCGAATGTTCGTCTGTCCGTCCGTTTGTCCGTCTGTCGTGTTTGGCCCTCTGTTTGTGCGTTTGTTTGTTTGTAATTGCATTTAAAGCAAATAAATGTAATTATTTATTGCATTTCGCAGCATTCGCCCACAGACAGAACGAAACAGCGGACGGCGGACAGCGGACAGCGGCGGCACAACGTGGAGTCCTTCAATGAAGCAAAAGCCTTATGGCCAAATGGATTTCTGTGCAAATACGCATATGGACCGACGGACAGACGTGTGTAATCACATTTAAAAAAAATGTTAACACACACAGGGAACTCAAATTGAATGTAAAGATAGCAGGACCATCGCTCATTCATAATCGCATTTGCAATTAAAATATTTAGTCAATTAATGCACGCGAAAATATGAAAACACATCACGTCACGCGGCGCCACGCAATTTTCCTGCATTTAAAAGTCTGGCAGTAATTCATATGTTGATTATCGCATGCAGCAGGCAGGCAGGCAGGGCAGCATTTTAGTTTAGAGTTGATTTTATTTTCAGAAATAAAACACATCCACTCCAATCCACTGCAGGCCTTCCCAACATCAAATTGCATTTATCGCACTTCTCACGCAAAGCAAATAATGTCCTAAAAACATCCAAAACACAGAACTCCCAAAGTGACAGCGAAGTGGATTTCCGTGTGTGTGCGTGTGTTTGTTGGTGTGCTTTGGGACGTGTTTATGTGGTGACAGGCATTCCATTGCCCGTCCGATTCGACTAACAGGCGACAAGATAGTCGCAAGCTAATCGAATAAACTGCCACGAGCAATTAGCGTTCTAAATGGAATAAACAAATAGTCCGCAAAACAGAATGAAAAAAGAGTGTAGAATGTGGAGTGGAAAATCAGTTTTCCTTAATTGTTTTTCCTGTTTTTTCCCCATCAAATTTTCTGACATAATCCGACACTCAATTAAAATTCAGAATTAGGAATTACATTTTACTGCAAAATGCATGCAAATTGCACTGCACATTTGTTGTTGTGTGGTGTGTGATGTGTTTTGTGTGTGTTTTGTCAGGTTTTTGCATTACAAATCAATTATTGCACTCGTCCCAGGCGACAGGCGGGTGGCACAGCAGAGGGAGAGCGGTGTCCATGTCAGTGGGAGCGTGTTGTTGCTCTCGGTTTAGCCGTCTGTCTCTTGCCTGTTAGCTCACTATCTCTATCTCTCTCTCTCTCTCTGTGTCTGTTTTTATCTCGATGTGTGTGCCCTGGAAGAGGGATATGATGGGATTTTGGCACAAATATTTCCAATCAAAATATACATAAAATAGAGTTTCTCAACAAATTAGCTGTAAAATCTATATCTTTGTACCTTACAATTCTTTACTTTATGCATACTCTTAGAGGATTAGCTGACTAATTCATTGTTGCTGCTCCAAAGCACCGAGTAAATAATGCAGATAGCTCTCTGCAGCTTATATTCCAGGGTATCTAAACTAACGATGCTCCCTTCAACTATTGCTCTCTTTTTGTTTTCGTCTCGCTCTCCTTCTCCTTCTCCCTGTCCGTCTGTCCATCTGTCAGTCACTCTGCATGCAAATCACGTACGTTTGCATTTTGTCAAAATGCGTTTTGCACCTACGAAAGCGAGAGAGGTGAGAGGGAGAGCAGCGTCAGTAATAACAGAAACAACAACTGCATTTACGGTTATGCATATGCGTGTTAGCATTTACTCAGAGAGTGAGTGTGTGTGTTGCGTGTGCGTGTGTGCAAATAATGACAGACGGCATAAACAAACACGCAGCACATCAGAATTCTACCGCTCTCCCGCTCTCTCCCTTTCTTCGGCTGCCATCTATGGCCACAGGGCAACCACAGCAAGGGGAAGCGGTGCAGAAACGTAAGCAGAAGCAGAAGCAGAAGCATGAGCCGGAGCCGTAGCTGTAGAGCCGAAAGGTAAAACACTCAAAAAAGTGAGGGAGAAGGAGTGTTGGCACGTCACTTGTTTCCGCCTTTTCCTACATAACGGACGGATAACCACAAGAAGCACCGGAATACACAGACACTCAAAACACACACACGCAGGCATCACGCATCATGCATCAGGCAGCAGTCCAGTGGCATGCAACAATCATTTTCGAGTCCGGAGGCCATCTCTAAATTCATTCAAATTCACCATATTTTGACACACACACCCAGAGGCATTTATAAAGATAAATTCCTCGACTCCAGGGGGATTCTTCATTCCTTGATTGATGGTTCGTCCATCCGTCGGTTGGTCAACCACTTAGCCTCCAAACTAATGAACTTTGCCACAGTTTTTGAAGTCCGTAAATTAAATTCCAAACTGCTGGCCAAAGCCCAAAAGTAAATATTTAATAATCAACTTTTGAGAACATTCTCCTTGGATCCTTTTCAAGCAAATACTCGTAGTTGTAGTGTTGCTGTGGCGTGTGGCATGGAAAAACAAAAGACTACAAGCTGCAGCACCTGCAGCAGGACCCCTACAGCAGTTCTTTCTACGGCTCCTTGGCTTCGTCCCACCATTCACACGGCTTCTCGTTCTGCTGATGAAAGTAATCAGAAAAAAACTTTCGCTCCCCCCCAGATGTTTGTGCAACTGCAGGCGGGTGGGTGGGAAGCACAGGAAACCGTTTGCTCGTTGGGAAATGTGTTTGTAAACCATAATTGCGCGCAAAAGTAGCCAACAGCTAAAGGTGAGGCATGCCCCTGCCCGCCTTTTGGTTCCTCCTCTCGGCTTTTCGTTTGCCGGAGAAATTTCATGCGAAAAATGTAATGTATAAAAGAAAATTCTACCAACTCTCACAATAATCACCGAAAAGAACACACACACATCCCAGGGAAAACTACGAGTAAAAGCGCTCACAATTATGAGCAATATTTTGCCCCCTCCGAACCGCGTTCGAGTACCACTTCAGCGCCGAAGGAAATGCCATGGCGCCACACCGAAATGAGTTTTTATTTTCGAGTATGTCAAACGGGAAGAGGGAAACCCCACCTGAGAGCTGAGAAACCAGAGCCAGGAGTAGTATTCCCTGTGAACCACAAAAAAAGGTGTTGAGCCGAGCAAAAGTGTGCCGTGTGGCACACACAGGTGCGGGGGTTGCCGCAACTTGTCGAACGGATGGCAAATTCTCTGCTTCTTTTGTCGCAGGCCATAGAAAAATCTGTTGATGATTTCCACGCCGATTCCAGCAGGTGAAAAACTTTGTGAGCGGCACTAAAACATTGGAAAACTTTTTAAGAGCGACGAAAGGAGCGCACAGCATGCATTAAAATTTTGATGGCAAACGAAAATGGAGAGAGAAGTTTTAGGAGGGAACTTTAGTTTTCGAGAATGCTCTTAAATCATTATGGGTATGTGTATGTGCATCTTTTCCAATTTAATCTCACACTTCTCTACTCTTTTTCCAAGGCACCTGATTGTTGCTGATTTTAATTTAATTTTCAGCATATTTTCAGCAATATGCCAGCAGGACCCTGGCTGCCCCTGGCTGCCTCTGTAAACCCACTTGAAAATGAACAAGCAGAAGAAATGAAAGTCGGAAAAAAGAGAATAGGGATCCAATCAAACAGGGAACACAAAACAAAAGGTGCTGCTGCTGTTGCTGCTGCTGCCCCCACAACAAACAATGAGCTATGCGGCCAGAGGAGTAACAGACATCAAGTGCATTTTCCCCACTTGAGCACACAATGAAAATTCGCTGGAAAATGCCCAAAAAAGAGGAGGATAGTCTCTCCCTTTCCCGGGCTTTCATTTGGTGTTGTTCGTAGTTGTTGCACTCACCCATTAAATACGCCCGTATCGACATAATGCGTGTAGTAGAAAATGCTAACCATCGTGATGGCAAACAGGGCAAAAACACATCGTCGCACATTGAAGCCAATGCAACGACGTGCAATTAAATTACAACAATGGCACATCCATCCCATAGAATAGGATCCACTGCCTGGCCCCTGATGGCCGTTGCCGTTGCCGCTGCTGCTGCCGGCGATACCAATTGACGTTGATGATGAGGTGCACGAGTTGCTGCTGCTGCTGCTGCTGCTGCTGTTGTTGCCACTGTTGATGTGGCCATTGCCGTTGCCATTCGCATTCGATTTCAGCTTGTACGTGACAATGCTGGAGGCATTTGTATCCTCCAAAGGCAATAGCATTGTGCGATCTGTGGTAGTTCCAGTTCCGTGACCATTGCCAAAATGCTTATTGAAATTGCCATCCGCACAGGCACTTTCATTGGCTTCCGTTTCCGCATTCGCATCCTGCCTCTGCATCTGTGGCTTCGTAATGAGTTTTTCATATTTGTTGCGATTTGTTGCATGATGTATATTCGTGGTTGCACCTCTTGCTGTTGTCTCTCCAGATGATATTGTCATATTGTTGCTGGGTAATAAAGCTTTTCTATAGCTTTTGTCCAGCTGCTGCTGCTGCTGCTGCTGTTGTCAATCGGTGGTTCTATCTACGAGTAAATGTATCTCAATCTATGTTTGACTTTCTCTCTCGCTCTCGCTTATAATTGGCAGCGTTTCCTTGCTTCAGGGATATGTATGCATGTCTTTCTGTCTTTCTGTTTAATAATTATCAAAATATAAGTTCTCGTTTATGGCACTGGCTTCTTCTTGGCTTAACTTAGCTCTTTTCTCCACTCAAACTTTTGTATTTTCCCATGCGTGTATAAATTTCAATCTCTCTCTCTCTCTCTGTTGTTTTTCCTGCCGTTGTATATCCTGTTACATCTGTGTTGTGTCTGTATTGTTCGCATCGGTTACTTTTCACTTTTTCGCCATTTGATATGTTTCCAAATTTTCAGATACTCATTTTGTGGCATGGCCATTGTGTGGCATATGGCATGGAGTGGCAGCTCTTCTTGTCGAGTGGCAGCATTATCAGTCATAGAGGGAGAGAGACCCCGTTCTAGTTTTCACACACAATCAGACATTGACTGGTTCCACAGTCTCGCTTCCAGTCCGTCTTATCTGCAATACGTAAAGAATCAGAAAAAAAAACATTATAAATAAATAATTGTCTTTTGGTTGTGTAAACAAATATCTACAACAAATGTCGCAACAACTGGGCGTGGGGGGGCTTTTCCCTTATTGACTTTTCATTAGTGGGGCAAAAGAGATATAAACATAGAGATATAGATAAATGTGCCTGCAGATAGGTATGGGTAGTACGTGTAAATATTTGGGGGAATGTAGTTCAACTTCTGTTTGTTTGACCATTAAAGTGGACAGACACTTGCCTCTATTCAGCGATTTATGTGGACACGAGGGGAGTGTCGAAACATGGAACTTGGAGCTCAATGACTTCCTTGTATGCAGAAACATTTCATAATCGTCAGAGTCGTTCCTTTAAAATTCAAATAAAACTTGAAACATGTTTTGCAAATAAATATTCAAAAATAACAAACAGTTTCTGCCACGAAGCTTTACTAACTCCAAACTGAAACAGAATGATTTTGCTGTTGGAAGCTCTCTCCAAAAGTCAGAGTGAAAATCCCATAAATTGAGATTCCAATTGCAAAATTACGATGTCTATAAATTTCGATTCCCTTTTTGCTACTCCAATTTCAATTTGCAACATAAATTCCCATTATCACTTGTACCTGTGGTGGCACAGGTGGCACCTTTTGCATATCAGCACTTTCTCCAATGTGTGGGTGTATCGATAAACGCCATCACAACTAATTGATGATGACATTTGTTTGTGCAACCCCGATTCAATTTGGAATTGAAATTGCTTCCAAAGGACACTCAAAAATTGGTGTTGGTATATCTTCTCGAGCGTCTACAGGACCCGCCCAGTGCCTTGAACACATAGACACGACATTTCGTCAATTTATTTGTCCGAACATCTCGAATGGAATGCAAACAGAAGGAACTGCTGCTCTGCAAATAAAGCGACAAATTGTCAAAGCCACAAATGGCAAATGGGAAATCATACACACACTGAACGCTCTGAAGATACAAATGTCTCTGGGGAGGGTTCCATCTCTATATCTATGTGCTTGTATTTGTATCTGTATCCGTGTTTATGTGTGTGTGTTTTTAGCCATTAACTGCATATGCCTGCCGCAGTTTGCAGGGGCTCTTAATGGCCTCAGAGATGGCAGCAGGCAGATAGAACCCTCACGTATTTGAGCGGCGGCGGCGGCATGCTCTTGTATTCCGGTTCCGGAGTTTAATTGGAAATGCCTGGCTGTTGCGGCTGTCAACCGAAAAATAAAGACAACATACTTCTGGGGCGCTTTATGGGCTAACAAAATGAGTCAATAATGAGTTTTAGATGGCCTCCACAACCGAAACAAAAAACCACACAATGTTTGTCATGATTTTATGTCCTCGATAAACATGGAACATGTGTTCGAGATAACAGCAAAAAGAGAGTGAGAGTAAGAAAGGGAGAACGGTTATTCCTGTAGCTTTCCCTTACCCTCTCGAATCAATAATCTTCAATTCCTTGAAAACTTCAATCTTCAATTGATCAATTTCACATCTTTAAACATTTAAGAAATCACAGGGAAAGAGAGTGATGGAGCGAGCGTGAAAACTCATATAAATCGAAGTTTCCTTCTTTCACTTTAAGCATACTTTTATCAATTTTCCAACTCCTTCTGCCACACCCCCTGCCTTACCCTAACCCTTCTCGGAAATCACACTCTTTAGTTCGAACTTCATTTCAGTCCAAAGTCACTTCATAAGCAACTCTCGCCGCAGCACTCCCGCGCTGTTCCTCTCCCTTTCGAATCTTGAGAAACACTTGCAGCAATTTATAAACTGAATTCTTGGTCCATCAGTGGAGGAGGAGGAGGAGGAGCAGCAGCAGCAGCAGCCACACACAGCACGGGCAAGAAATAACAATGGAGGAGAAGGAGAAGCTACTGGAGGGTGTCCTTCTGCCCTTGTTTTTCTCTGCATGTTACAAATTTATCATTAAAATGTCAAAACTTAAATTGATTCAAAAAGTTTAGCAGCAGCAGTGACAATGCCGCGCCGCCCCGACCCCCGCATCAGCGGCAGATTCCGGCTTCTGCAGAAAGAAAAGAAAAGTTTACTGTTCTCGGAAAAGCTTTTCCCGCTTGCTGCTGCTGCTGCTGCTGCTCGTGCGGCGGCTGCATACTTTAAGGCGCGCTGCTTGGAAAAATAACTTTGTGCGTTTTCTTCGTTAGGCAAACTTGTTTAATTTCCTCTTCAATTGCCCAAGAAACCAAGCGAGACACAATCCAAAAGTTGGACCTGCATCCTCTCTTCTGCTGCACAATCCTCCCAGTGCTAGAAGCTTCATTTGTTTTCCTGGAATTTTCTTGTGGAACTCTTCAGGAGAGGGATATAAGGATTTGGCCTAAGTGAAGAGAGTAGTGAAGGTTTGGTGACTTTTTGAAGGTCGAAGGATCTACCTTCCAAAGATGGCTTAGAGATAGATGATAGCTTGAAAAGAATCAATCGATCTGCAGCAACCCCAAAGAACGGTTCACTTTTAGGTGAAATTCTATCCAAAGGTAAATGATCGCATTTGGATCTCCATATGATTCCCAACGCTCTAGACTTCAGCACTATTTCATCCTTTCAGAGTATCTCCATCTTCGACTCACAAATTCCACCTTTCAATTGCTTTCGCTGCTCAGTGGTTTTTCTTAACTTTTCCATTTAATTGCAGTATTTGTTTGCTGGTGATTTGCCTGTCAGTCAGTCTCAAGCTCATTCTTCAATCCACCTTTATAATTGACTTAAGGTTTTATGATTTCCCCTCCATAACACATATCCCATGTCACCAAACAGTTTATTCGAATTAAACTCTCGAAAGTTCTATTCTGTTTACTCGAAATTCGTTTTTCTGTTCTTTTTGGGGAAGGCGAAAACTTTTTCACACTTTTTCCTTAAATGCATTTTTTTCGTGGCTGGGCTGGGAGGGAAATGGTTTTAAAAACTATTTATTTTACGATACATTTTGTTTACATTTCGGAAGCATAGACAAGACTCTCCTCAGCATATTTCTCTCTCTCTCTCTCTGTCTAAATTGCATTGAGGACGTGAGCAGGGGCATCGCGTTGAAGGGCACCCCTGAGATGCCTGCCATCCACACTGCGCCCCATTCTGCGGCTGCATGCAGCGCCCCTGCTGCTTGGCGCTCTTTTGCCTGCCTTTTGTGTGTTGGCCATTTATCAGTCAGCCCCCAAAATGTTTGTTGTTGCTTTGCCTAGAGTACCCTATGATTTGTTGGGTATGCCACCCATTGTGGGCATTTTGTGTGGTGTGCCATGGATTCAAGGCAGCCTTCCAGGTAGCTTACCATCAAAGAAAGTGTCAGAATTAATTCTGAGTTCTCATCGATATTCACCAATTAATGGGCATCGTCTAGTCCAAATCTCTTGTAAAGTTCGATTTATTTTCATTTGTTTTTTTTTGGCTGCTGCTGCTGCTGTTACCACTGCCGTATGTTTGTCTTCTCTTCTGTTGCTCTATTTTCTGTATTTTTTGTTAGTTTTTCGCGCATTCACACCCAACCCCTGACACCGTGCCCCCTGCTGACCGGACTGCCTGTCAGTGTGCAACATATTGATAATCGTTTTCAATTTGTGCAACAACAATAGCAGCAGCAGCAGCCAGCAACAAAAAAATTAATTGTCTTTAGTAAATTGAATGCAACAGAAATAAACAAACAACTTTTGGACAAATGACTTTGGCTTTAAGCCCTCCCCCTCGCCTCCCTGAACCATGCTTTTGACCCACTGACAGCTACAGAGTCTTGGTTTTAACCCACAGATAGCCCCTGCCCCTTGTTTTTTAACCCACTGACAGGCACAGACAGGAAAACAATAATGACTGACTCATTCATTGGCCAGACATGACTCCAATTTCAGAGACTCCATTCTTCAGTCTCCAATTTCTGTTTCTGTTTTCTTGGTTTCTGTGTCTGATGATTGTTTTGACTGATGAATGAATGACTTTTGGCGTTCCCTTGCAGAGCGAGGAATCCGTGAGTCCATGAGTATTTCCATGGCTGATTGCTTTTTATATACATTAATGTTTTCCCCCCTTTTTGTTGGTGGCATGCGTGGGAGGCTTCCACAAAAATTGTATACCTTACAGATAAACAAATTTACGTATCTTAATGAGTTTTTCACACTTTAGCGCCTTCTGTTCGTCGTGTCTGTGTTTCTGTTGGTTTGTATCTTTGGAATATTCCATTTTCTAATGCTCTCTGCTATGCTCAGAGGTTTCTTCTTCATTATTTATGTGGCCATAAATCAGTTTGTCTGACAATTAAATTGACAGACAGATTTTCGATACATATTTTGAGGTTTGTTGTTGAGATTTTCATTGGATTTCCACTAGAAGTTGCCTTAACAAATGAATTGTTTTGCTGTTGAGTGGAGACTAATGAAGTGCTGATTTTATTTATAGGCAGGCGTGTGTCCCCGTGTTGTCAATGTCTTTCTTTTATTTGTATTTCAATTTATTTTTGTATCTATTTTCTGGAATTTGGTTGGAGTATTCCATTAGTCATAGAGGGAAAAGGTTTATTCTGTGATTTCTCACATTTATTTTGCCAGCCATTAGCCTTTCCTTTCCTACTTTTCCCCTAATTCCCTGAGCCTACTCCTTCCTCCCCTGAAATGTCTCCGCCTACTGCTCCCTCGAGTGTCTCTTGGAAGTGTCTCTTAAGTGTTTTTCCCCAACAATAATTGTGGATTCGCCTTCTGCTTCGTCTGTCAATTATCCCCCCACAACATTTGCCTAATGGTTTTTATATTTGTTTTTCCCTTGTCTCTTGGCCTTTCACTTTTCCTCAAACCCTGTTTTCCTCTTTGGCTTTTGCTTTCCATTCGCAAAATAACAGACACAGGGCACTGGGAAAACTCTCACACACTTGGAAAACACTCTCAAGTGGTATTTAGGATACAAATAAAAAAACTCATAAAACATTCACAGAGTGAGAGATATTCTCCACCTCTGTCGCTCTCTGTATCTTT